CAGCCACCAACGCGCTTGTGACAAACGTGGGTAGAGCCCTTCCCAAATCTTCGTTCGTGAAGCCCAGCCATGATGATGAATTATTTATGATCTGTAATTAAAAAAAAAAGAAATTCACTGTTATTGGGTAAAGAACAGTGGATAAGTGCTGGACTAGGGAAAAACCTGCCCATGTCAGCAAACAAGGGAAGGAGCTAAAGCTGGTCTGGCAAAGTATAAGCACTATATGTGGATAAGTAGTTGGCACAGACATAATTAATGTGTTATATTAAAAGAAAGAGGTGTCCAGCAGAAGATGCATAGTGCAAAAAAAGAAATTAACCTCTGTAGCAGCATTCTTTGAAATTGCAGTAGAGTGATACAAAAGCAGCATTTAGAAACAATGAAAACAGACAAATTCATGACAAAGCAGAAGTATTTCTTGCACAATGCAAAAAAAAAAAAGGTATTCTGAGGGAATCTGATTGATGGGATAAGAACATAGTGTTACATGCCAACTATGAGATAAATCTGAGCCGTTGGTAAATTATATGTTAATGCACAAATTAAAGCGTGCATTAAAGAAAGTGGCTAAACTGCCAATGGTTGCTGGAAGATACCTAAGCATGTGGAAGTTGCAAGGAAGGCTCTCACTGTAGGAGTTCCTCCATTAGAAAAGCTGCAGCAATGAAGATATTCAAAAGCAAAAATCAGTCAAGAGGAGCCAAGCTTTTAGGCAGACAATACTATGTGTAATCTTCCATTTCCACTTATGACAGATACACATTTAGGCAACTTCTATCCAGAGATGTTCTACCATTTGGAATTATACAGAACATTCTTCATACCTTCATCTTGGAGGATATCAGGAGACTGAGTAGCTTAATGGCACTGAGAAATTTCTAGAACACAGTGTTTACACAGTCACAATCTAAATTATCTTCTAAAGATGATATTGTCATCGCATTTTTGTCTTGTAGGGAAGAAGTGAAACAACAATAAAGCGCTGTCAAAAAAGTCACTAAAACCATCTAGCAATGCTAAAGGGCAGATTTATGAATAATTGTGCTGGTTTTGGCTGGCATAGAGTTGATTTTCTTCACAGTAGCTGGTATGGGGCTGTGTTTTGGATTTGTGCTGGAAACAGTGTTGATAGCACAGGGATGTTCCATTGTTGCTGAGCAAAACAGTGCTGAGCAAAACAGTGCTCACTGTTATGGATTTATACACACTGGCCACTGTAACAGTGTCTGACTGTAGGAACCTGCTAAGAAAGCAAAGTCTGAGTTCTTAAGTTATAGCTTGATCTGTGTGCCTCCAGAGAGGGACCCCCACCCCTGTTCATGCTTCTCAGTTATACCCATAATCACCCATCACCTGATGCCCAAGTCCAATCACTCAATTCTGATCCATGATCTCTTGATGTCTTACTGTTTTTCACTATTACTGGGCTGGCCTTCTTCTGGAGTGACTTCATTCTCTTGGAATTGTCTCCTTGGTCCCTATCTTCTCCACTCCTCTCACATCTTCTGAATTCAGTGAGCTCTTTGTTAGCAGCATTAGTTTTATCAAAAAGTTTATGCTTGGTCAGCTCCTGTGGCCTAAGGCTTCAGCGACTTCAGCTGCTAATGCTGAGCCACTAATGCTAAATGAGTGTATTCAGAGGGAAAACCACAGTCAATCAAATTCCTTCTGTAACATTACACAGAGGAAAGGCCTTTTCTGCCTCTGACCTCACTCCCCCAGCGAGTGGACTGGGGGTGCATGAGGAGTTGGGAAGGGACATAGGTGGGACAGCTGATCCCAACTGGCCCAAGTGATATTCCACATGACAGGACATCATGCTCAGCATGTGAAGCTGGGGAAGAAGAAGGAAGGGAGTGATGGTGTTTGTCTTCCCAAGTCACCACAAGAATACTGAGCATTGACTTTGTCCACATGAGATCAAATCCTTGAGATATCTAGGTATCACTGATACCACAACCAAATACAGTGTCAGCATTTGCTGACACTGCATTTGTTACTGATAACATCGGTATTGTAGAAATAAATGTAGAAATAAATAACTTCCCTGTGAGAAATGCTCCAAGTTACATTCCTGCTAAAATTCTGTGAGGGAAAACTAGTTATGTTCTTTATTTAAAACCATCCCTTTCTGTCCCCTCTATCCTAAATTTGGCCAAGTTCGAGCACACCCATCTTCCCTCCAGAAGCTTCCTAGATTTGTATTCTTTCTGAATTTCACAGAACTGCTCTATCTGAAAATTGCATCATCTCTATCATCTTTGAATTCATGTTAAGTCGACTTACACTAGTTAAAGGTGTAGGTGAGCAGCCCTTGTGCCTGCAAAATCAGCAGCTCCAGCACAAGGCACAGAGACTGTTTTCTGAACTGGGGGAACCTGAGGGGAGAGGAGAGACCCACCAGCTCAGGCCACAGCAGCTGTGGAGACGCAGAGAAGGTGTTGGGAGCAATGGTGGCCCAAGCCAACCATGTATAAA